CCAACATACCCAACTGGGATGTTCTCGTCGGTGTATTTTATTAACTGCGAGATAGAGAAGAAACGGCAGGTGCAGAGCACTTGTAAATTTATTTGTAATGTTAATATTTGTCATTTTGTCATTTCCTCCGCGTTGAATTGTTCTTCCTCTTGCGAGTTGATGCAGCACTTTACAGTGAAATGAAAATACTCGTATCACAAAGGGAGTACCCAATTTTGTAACTTAAGACTATTACTTTTGCATCAAGGTTATAGTGTCATCTGGTAAAAGGGATATACCAAGCTGAATTTCCTCTTGCACGAAGCATATGTGTGTATCATTGAACTCTCCTCTTACTCGAAGAGTTTTATCTTTACGATAAGAGAAAATGACTTCAGATAATTTTCGCGCTCACCGTAAGATTACTTTTTTCTGAGTGTAGGGACCTACCCGCGAACAAACGAATCAACGAAGCAGCACGGCCGCGTACGGTAACGCCCACCTGCGGACGGATGGAAATAACATGCGCGCTTGCCTCTCTCCCTCCAAGCGTCCGCTCTGGCCACATGGATACCGCCACCGCTTAGTGAGCGACAAGTTGGCTATTCCCCTCCCGACCCCGGCAGTCGGAAGCGGGAGCCGGCTACTGTTTACGTTTTGGTTTGCCGCAACATTTACTGTTAATGTCGGACTTTCTTTGCGTTCTCATCGTGTCGCCTACAGAACTGTAATGCGGTCCCACTTTTGACCTGCACCTCGGGACCGGACGTTTGCGGTACGGTCCCGGTCCCAGGTTGCGGTGCGGTGCAGATGGCGTCTGGATGTCGGGGACGCGAGTGGATGCAGCAGGTTACTAGGAAGGAGGAGGAGGGGCCTGAGACGTCGTGTATACCATCTCATTATGTGATATTTGTTTCTATTTGATTATCTATTAGCCCTATTACCTAGTACAAAATTATATGTCATTAGTGATGTTGCCTCTCCCAATTTTTTGTTTAATAACGTTCCACATTATTTGTAACGCTCCCTCTAGGCTTATTTACATTGTAATCATGCAACATTTCATCCTTATTTTGTACTTCGAAGGAGGTCAATGGTTGAGCCAGTATACTTTCAAAACTGCCTTCCGTCCCATAGTTCATGTCAGAACAGTTTGAAAAAGAGCTTCTATTTTACTTTGCCATTTAAAGTTTCTAAAAATATAAGTTACGTTTGAACAAGCAAACTTGAAACACTATAGTCTCAATTTGCTATAGTCTCAAATACCCACCTGGCCAATATTAAGAAAAGGGTTGCATATTTTATTTTTACCACAGCAAGGTGAAATATTGTTTTCAAGTGGAGTTCTCTCAGCTTCTCTCTTCTTCATTGCACTTTTATTGACGGACAAGATTATGTTTTTCTAAAGGGTGCATCGATACCTTCCGTCAAGAAAGACTCAGTCGCGCGACCGCTGCAGAAAAAGGCTTGGCCGAGCGACGGCTACAGAAAACGGCTCAGTCGGCGGGAGGCTGCTAAGAAAGACTCAGTTGCATTTTGGCCGCGCGACGCACGTGCACGTTTGAAGCGCTAGGTAAAATCGGTGGTCTAAGATATACATTTTCTGAAAGCGGCAAACGACGCAGAAATGCTTCACCCATCGTTTGCCATTTTCAGAAAGTTTATATCTTATGCCACCGATTTTTGCTGGCGCTTCAAACGTGCACGTGCGTCGCGCGGCCAAAATGCAACTGAGTCTTTCTTAGCAGCCTACCGGCGACTGAGCCGTTTACAGTAGCCGTCGCTCGGCCAAGCCTTTTTCTGCAGCGGTCGCGCGACTGAGTCTTTCTTGACGGAAGGTATCGGCATGAGCTTAAAAAGTTATTATTCATCAAAAAGATAAATTTAGGTATGCAGCGAGGGGTACCCATCAAATTGCAATACTTACATTTTCAAGATTGTGGTATGTTATTTGAGATAAAATACCTGGGGACTGAACATCCCCTGCACTGCCTGATGGCACAGATTCCTGATGTGCACTGGGATTATCAGCATCAAAACTAATTTGTTCCTCTCCCTAAAAGGAAAAGGCGATTCGTGAAGCATACACTATTTCACTGTTTGCGATTTGTTGTAAGTATTATTACAACCAATACTAAAATTACCTAGATTTCTTGAGCAACAAGTGGGGTCTGCATAATCTGGGAGAGGAGGACGCACTGAGAAAAATGTTTAGTGCCCGGCACTAAAACTTTAGTGCCCAGGTCGAAAGCTTTTCGCCGCATTTTTTGTTTTTGCTCTAGATTGGAAACCGTGTGAGTTAGATTGATCGGTGTTGGCCCAGTCTGTATATTGAAGTGTTGTCTATCGTAAATGAGAGCCCTCAGATGTCGTTTCGCTAAGTCTTTGTCAGCAGATGATTGTTTCCAAAGTGTGTTGCTTGTCCCAATGTTCCCGGGTACGGGGTACAATGGGACACTCATAAGAAACCATGGAATGGGGTACATTGGGACAGAAAAAAATTGACTTATGACTGCACAACATTCTTACCGTGTTGCGGTCTAGAACTCTATACAACCATGATTAGAGTCAGTGTATTGCAAAATGAGACTATTTTAGATTTTTTAAAGTGTCGCATCGGACACTTCTCTGGGGAGCTGTCCCAATGTGTACCTATCGCTCTTATCGCGTTTTAGTCCTTTCCTTTTCGGTATTTTGGGATTCAACTCAAAACCCAACGCTGGTAATTGTGTCGTAAGAAACTACCTATCGGTGAGCCACCTTGCCGATTTTCTATTGCAAATTATTAAACGCACAGAATGGGAAACTGATCCGAAACGTCACCTTGGTTTTCACCACTTTTGGAGCTTATTTTCGTTTGCCATTTTCTGTTGTTTAAACATGTTTAGCCAGCCCCCAATTATGAATGCCACCACAAAGAACTCTTTAGTGCGAAACGTGGCAAATTTTTTCAATATCTGAATACTGTTAGAAATAGATGATATCGCCTCTGTCCCATTGTACCCCGTGTCCCACTGTACCCCACCTTCCCCTACGATGAAACGGGTGATAATATTTTTACTGGATTTGGTTCAAACTCTGCAGCAAGGGGGTGAAACAGTGGAGTTGTTTTCCATAGGGGTGGAATAGCCCTGTCCTTTGCTACAAGAAGTTTCCTCTCCAAAATCAGCGCCATAGTATCAAATGGCGGCAAGAGGCGGCACCCCAATGTAGAATGAGCTAGTTAATCGGGGGGAACTGCCCAAGCACCTGATGCTGTGTGCACCCGGGGCCCGGGGCACCCAGCCAGATACAAGGCAGGCATTTCGATAGTGGTGCCATCTAGTGGTAACATCCGAACTACTCAATCATGCATACTTCGTGCATCAAACAAAGTGCACCTCAGCCTACTACAGCACAAGACGTGTTTGGCGCTTGGCGCTCAACACCATTATTGCTACACTACACCTCGGAACTTCTATTGGCCAGCACTAAACGTTTGGCCACGGAGACAAAGTGGGGTGCATTAAACAAGTGTTTAGTGCCGGGAACTTAAAATTCTCTCACGTCAGTGCGAACCAACCGCGAACGTCTGCTAGCAGCATTTTATCAATTTGGCCGAAATATTCATAGTGTGTGGCTGTTGTTCATTGAAATTAGTGAAAATGATGCAAAAGTAAACATCTCGAGCAGTGAAGTACCCGCCCGCGTAAAAATCTAAGGCTTGTTTTGGACCCATTCTCGTCGTTTTCC